GATGATGTTGTTGTGGTTGACGTGGTTGTGGTGGTAGTTGTTGATGATGTTGATGATGTTGTTGTTAACGTTGTGGTGGTAGTTGTTGATGACGTTGTTGACGTTGTTGCTGATGTTGTTGTTGACGTTGTGGTGGTAGTTGTTGTTGAAGTTGTTGTTGATGTTGTTGTGGTAGTTGTTGATGTTGTGCTTGTTGAAGTTGTTGTGGATGTTGATGTTGTTGTACTTGTTGACGTTGTTGTTGTTGCTGTTGTTGTCGTAGTCGGTTCTATTTTGTAAAAGAGAATTTAGAATGAGACTAAACAATTCGATATGGGTCTACCCCCAATTTCTTACTTTTTCTCTAACTATTATATCTACTATAAATATAAGTGCACTATGATAAAAAAAAAAGTAAATCTTTAGACGGCTTGTAGTATAATTGTACTTCTACAATCTTTACTTTAATTAGATCTCCAATATAAGAATTCCATACAATGGTATATTTTATTCCAATCTGAATTTCGAGGAAAAAAGAGACTATATTTCGCATTGAAAGTAGGGGACTAAGAGGACTACGGGGAACTGTGAGAAACAATGAACACTCATGACATTCAAAGGAATAAAACAAAGTCATTGATAAATACCAGGACTTTACTAGAGAATTAGAACTTTCAAGAATTATATGCATTCTAATTTCTTCCCATAAGAAAATTCATTCTCTCTGGTACTGAATCATTTTGTCTTCGATAAAAATAATTATTTTAACTCAGGCTATAAAGAGTAGACTTATATACACTGTCGCTTATCATAAAACAGCAACGAAGTCATTTTGAAAGCTCCTTAGTCTCCCGTTGTACTTGAAGAGTGATGAAGGTAATAGCTGATGGTGGGCAATTCCATTTGATTTAAATCAAATATTATATTCGTAGGAAATATAATGTTGATTTTTTAGTTCACCTAGTCCTTACTCTAAATATATTACAAAGATCAGTTTTTGTTCAAAATTCAATTTAAAATATAAAAGACTCTAAACTCATTCATACTAACCAGGTGGAGATCGTGTTCCAGTAATAACAATCATAGTAGTAATGTCGGTATCAGTCAACATATTTGCTATTTCATTTGACATATCAGTAAATAATTCACAATTAAAAGTAGATTGATGAAAACTGGCTGCTCTACAATACGTTCGGGCTAAACAAGCCATTTGACACTTCATAATATTCGACGTAATGATATTTGCGAATGGTAAACAAGTTGCATTCAAACATTGAAATTTCGAATCAGTGATTAAAGACATTAGAACTGATCGTGTATCTTCTCCAACCGAGTTTGTAATAATCATAAATACAAGCCATAAACAAATTCTTCTTGAAGCCATTACCAGCTAAACTGCAAGTTAATGAAATGAATTTAACTGAAAATAAAAGAAAAAGAATCTGTTGAGCGATAAAGACTTTTTTTTTCTTTGTCTCACTCGTTTTCTTTTGTCATTGTAGCGTATGCTTTTTTATTACATTTCATCAATCTAATGGGAAAAATAGTCATAACTTTTATTTTATTTTGTAAAAACACATATCCAATTTGAAAAACGAGTTTTTTTTGTTGATATGTCCTTTAAAGACAAATATATTCACACTTCGGACATATACGTTATATGGAAAATAAATAAAGATGAAAAGCATATAGAATAATCGATTCAATAAAATTGGATTTGAAAAGAGAATAAACTACATTAAATCACAAATGAAATTTGTTTCATAAAAATAAAAATATTTTAATTCATTGTATCCATATATAAATTAGGTATTCATTCGAACTTCTCTCACAGTATTTACAATATATCAATCAATTATCACGCAATTTATATAGAAATACAGGAAATTGAATAATCCTCTAAACTCAAACTCACTGGATTTGGATTTTTCAGTTGACTCTAACACGAGATATGAAAATATTTTCACAATTTCTCTTTTATTATTCTGTAGTGTCATTGCTATTCTTCAATGTTTCATCGATAAAAGAATATTATCTTCTGTAATTTAATTGATAATCACATTTTTCTTCATCAATGTAACAGTAATTCAAACATTTCTATGTATGATAGTATTATTGAAAGACAAAACACCTTGATTATTAGATACATAAAAACAAACAGTTTTTTTCATTATTCTATAGTAAGTTTAATAATTGTTTATCATAACAACACATTCTAAACTGTTTTTTTCTCTCGAAGGAAAAATTTTATCCACTGAAAACTTGCTTTGTTTTTCTTTTCTTTTCTTTTTCTCCGTTTATATGCTGCTGTGATATATAATGTATGTAGTAGAAGACGAAGTTAGTTGAGCAATCTTTTTGATTATTTTTTAAAAGAAATGACAGAACTATAGAGTTTATGAAAAGATCAAGGTTTAATATAGTTACAATAAGAAAAAGTGCATTACTTTAAAAAAAGTGCATATGTGTTAAGAAAAACAATTATGGTAATATATGCAAGCTTTCTGTAGATGGAAAACTGCATCTTCATAATTACATTAGAAAAATTACTAAACAAGGTTGATGACGTCTTTACTCTTTTTCATTATATGAATGTATCATACATAACTGCAAAATAGATGGGTTTTTCCCAACGTGTAAAGATTTATTTCACTCCTTTTAGATTTTAATGCCGACGGATTTTCTTTTGAAGAATATGCCACATGTTAGAATAATGATTTTGATATTACTTGATAACATAACATTAATTCATGAATGATTTTTGCAAATGTTTGTTTACCTGCTTATATCTCAAATCAATGTCAATTTGAGAGTGTTGATTATACATTATGATTGAAATATGAAAAAAAATTTGAAGTGGTCATCAACGATAAATGATTGAATACTGACAATTATAATGTGTAGCGAAAGATTCTTTAGTCGTGCATTGCTTTTTAAGAATAGAGCTACTACTACTAGTAGTAGTAGAGTAAATCAAAACTTATCTCTAAATTTTCATTGACAGTGGAAAAACACTATGTTTGATCGCGACAATACTCGAGTTGGTGATCGATTATCTTTCGGAACATATGAATAAAGATAATCAGGTTATAGTTTTATGAATGTGTTGAATAATTATCATTGAAATTTTTTTATTTCAGGTGAAGTACTCATTAATGAGGAAATCCTCTTTTAGTAGAAGATCTCGGATATTTTATTATATTTCAGTCTATGAATCTTTTACAGTCGTTTAAAATGGGCTTGATCGCATAATGAATGTCTCTGATTGATATAATATATGTGCCCGGCCGAACTGAAAGTTTGTGACCATTATGATAATATAACAAACACTTGATTTATTAGCAAAAATGTTGATCATTGCTGTTAACAATATGATTTTTCGAGATAGTGAAAAGTTTAAAAAATATATCATAGTAGAATCTATGAGATAAATAACAGAGTTTTTGTTGATTATGAAACAATGATTTGAATGAAAGATAATATTATATTTATTGTTAATATAATCATTAACAATGAATTTTATATTAAAAAACAATAATACTAGCTCAGTTAAAATTTGAGAATAATTAAAAGAATCATTTTAATTTTTCTTTCAAGATAATCATATAACACAATCATGGTATAAGGAAATTCTATAGATTATATTTTTTGATCAACCATATTCTATATCTAATACAACTCATTTTATACAAATTGTTTTGGAAAGATACAAAAAAATTAGATATTGAAAATGTATTTACTAAACAAGATAAAAAAATGTCTATTGTTGCTCAATATAGTCCAACAAACAATTACCGTGAAGCATATAATACAAAATACTTTTCATACTAAATATTAACTAATTCAATGAATCATTTATATTTGCTTTTCTTCCTAAAATTAATCTTGCATATTAAAAATATGTGCCAGTTTCACAGTAATAATATTTTAGCAATCAATTTCCGCGAGTAGTGCACAGCTGTAAAACTAAAATGCACCTATGTAGATATAGAAATATAGAAAAATGACTTCATCGATAGTATTAAATGTCATTTCAATTCCATTAGACAAATTAGCTAATAAAATGTATCTTCGTGTTTTGTATTATTATATAGTTAATCTTTGTTCTCCAATAGTTTAGATTATAGTTTCAAAGAGAACTGATGTATCACGACTATGTCATACATACATAAATTGATATTTTCTTGTATATGTTCGGACTCTTAAATATTTAGTAATATAACGCATTTATTTTACTGATTCATTTTATTTTAATATTGAATCATATTTAATAGTTTATCAGATTATCCTTTAAATTCTGTTTGTTGTGGAAGAGATCAATTAAGATAAATATGTGACACTAACTAATATCTCATCTTGAAAGTTACTCAATTATAATTTAATAATTATCGTTAAAATACACGTGTAATCTCTTCTAAAATATTTTTTTGTTCCTTTGTCAATAGGATATGTTGTCGTTTTCATTTTTATCTAAATACATTGGTATAATTATCTATTCATTTTTCTTTCCTTTTATTCCTATGACTTAGTTACAGTTGATGTGAGAGTTGATACAAAAAATAACATCCTTGCACATTTATATGAGTACCAGTAGGCAACAGTGCGTGTAGTGAAATAAACATCTTATATCATAACTAGTGGCAATGCTACATCTTTAGTGTATGAGTGTGGGTGGGTGTCGATATTGATACAAAAACAGATTTTTAGTCACACTCACACCCAAAAAAACATAGTGTGACGATTTTTAATAGAAGAAGTGTTAGCGCTGGTGTAACTACACTTTATTGTATTTCTTCTTCATACCAATCACATCTTTTTCATAGAAAAAAGGAATAAAAGGACAAAGTACAACATGATTAAGGACTAATGCGAAGGATTGAGACCATTAGTAACAACAAGTGGAATAGCAGTCATGTAGCACACTCAAACTGGAGTGTTGCACATAGATACACAAATATGACATTCTCCATGATCAATACCAGCGGTGGCGACGACAATCTCGAAACGTTCAATGTTTTGTGACTGGATGCCGAAATGAACAATGAGGAACACCTAGCGACGCAAAACCAATTGCGAAGCATTATCAATCAATTGAAAACGTTCAAGAAGGTAAACATATTTGTATATTTCAGTTGTTAGTGAACTCAATTTAATATTTATATCAGCAACGGAAAAACGGATATAACTTAGAATTTAAATTTTTTATGGGTCTAGGGCGCGAGTTCTCTATAGATAGTGGAATGATTCTTGCAATTCAGTGTAAGAGAAACTGCACTTCCAATTGTATATATTCGAAAAAGAAAATACTGCTTCCAAAGAAAAGAACAGAAAAACAAACTCGCAAAAGCAGAACAACGAAAAAGAAAAGAAAAAATGTTATTGCAGATAATTTTCTTTCAAATGGAATTAAGAAAAAGAAGCGAGAACAATGTGATCGCTAACAATATATTTGTTATTTTGGTCTGTATCATTTAGTTAATATAGTATTAGTGTCATTGTTTATACTTTCATAGTATGTTAAGCTTGTTTAATTGATGTTCAAATCAATCATGAATTACTTTCTTTAACAACCAGAATAATACCAACCACCATAATAACAACCACCACCACCATAATAAGTAGAAGGACCTTGACCAGTGCAATTACGACAAAAAAAATTACCACTTGGACCGTTAACACCAGTATTGTCACATGCACAGGCGTGATTATTGTAAACACAAGGAGTAGGACCAAATGTGCAACAATAATATTTAGAACAAGTAGAATTAAATATAAACGTAGTAGTTGTTGTTGTCGTGGTAGTTGTTGATGTTGTGCTTGTTGAAGTTGTTTTTGATGTTGTTGTTGATGATGATGAAGTTGAAGAAGTGGTTCTTGTAGTGGATGATGATGAGGTTGATGTGGTGGTGGATGTTGTCGTTAATGTTATGATCGGTTCTGTATTAAATAAATCATATTAAAAGAGAAACCAACATTGGTTAAAGTTTTCCTTCGAGCTCGACATCAGAGATGAACACAGAAATGTCATGTGAGGTAAATTTAGTTTCAGATCTTAGTTCTAAAAAAACCTTTGGCTTTTATGTCGAATTCTGAATGACAAAATTTAACATGTAGAGTTGTACTTATAAGCTATTCTGTCAAGATAGAGAAACACTATAAATCTATGGTGTTAGAGACTCGTCAAGAGAAAAAGACAGTAACATTTCTAATCGATTGATTGCAACTACGATTAAATCTGCTCAGCACCAAAGCGTGGTATGTTCACTAACAAACTACATATAACATCATTCTCATCTATTACTTTCAAGCAAAAACTCATCCATCAACTTTATTTTACATTATTTTCAAAATCAACATGTGTCACTCAAAAACAATGTTCTATTAATAAATACTTACTATTTGTTATTGATATTGCTGATTGATTTATAAATATAAAATCAGAATTCACATTATATTCAATAACAATCGAATTGTTATTCGAATAAAATAATTCACAACTTCTATTTGTCGAAAAATAGTTTAATCCAGATAATAAAAATACATTTATTTTCATCATTTCACATATACATTCATCTTTAGTAACATTTAATAGTAATCTATTGACAGTACCAATCATTATACTATTGTTTATTTTACCAACAATAATTGAATCACACATAGAAATTAATGATAAAATAAAAACAATCCAAAACATCTTTTTGTTGTCTTACTCTGTGGAAACTCTTGTTAAAACTGTTTGAATAGCTTCTTCCACTGTTTTTTACTCTCTGTCTTTTTTTTCAAACCATTTTCCAGTTTAATATTTAATCACTATAGAAAAAAGTATTACTTGTTGTGCATTTAATTTTCTTTACAGTAGCACATACATTTATGGTTTATTATATTTAACAGCAACCTAGATGGTCACTGCAACAGAAAAGAAGTATGCATGTCTATTTTTTTTTCTCAACCATTTATGAAATTAAAATGATTACTATCGTGATGATTACAGTGAAGAAAAAAGAACTAGCATTTGTCTGTAAATATAATGTATTGTTTTTTAAAATATTTCATACGATATAGTGGAAGAAAGAAAGAAAGAAAAACTAACTTGTGATAATTAAGGGAGTTACTTCATCTACACATTTAGTTGATAGAAGTTGTGTTGGAAGTAAAATATTACAGCAAATGGAATGATTCATTCTCAAAAGAGATACAATTTTTATTATATAAACAATCTCTGCAAAATAGCAAAGAAAAATATGCACTAGACTTCTACTTAGCTGCAAACCTTTTCAGTCTTCTGCTCATCAGCTATTTGATCTCCACCACTATTGAAATACTTGCATAGCTATTTAAATCGTTCCGAGTGTGGGTGGGTGTAAGTTAGCATGTGAGTGTGATCAGCTGTGTTGCCTTTATATACCCACACTTACCCGAATTAGTTCTTAGATAGTAGCTATATAGATCTCTGAATTAACATTGACAGTAATAATTTTTACGACTATTTGAAAATGTTGAGCATTTCAACAGATACCATAATTCTTAAAAAAAACAAATATATATGAGATTTAGAAAATAGTATAACGTTTAATTTACGTTTTTATTGATTCTTTTGATAGAATTTCAATGATGGAATTGTCTTTTCTAATTTAATTTTTATTTTATTCATATTATCGTTTAAAAGAATATTTAATGTTGAAACAAAATCTGTTTTGTATTTTTTAATTGTTCGATTTCCATATAGATCTAAAATAAATGATGTTGACATATTTGGAGTTACTACAGTAGTTGTCATTCAGTGAATATCTAGAAGAAATTCTATAACTTAGTTCCATTTTAACGAGTGATATTTATTCGAGTTTATTCATTTAACAAAGTTACTTAAATTTGACTGTGACAATACTTTTTTTCTTGTATCAATTTATAGAAATCGTTGACGTATTTAGTATTTTTTAAACTATAGTTACGTAGGTATGAGGTGAATCAAAAATGTAGTTATAGTTAGTAATAATGAATCAGAAGACGATTAAATCCATGTATATTTGTTTTGTAAAGAAGACGGAAAAAACAGGTTACGATATACACTGAAATAAGTAATGAATGAAAAAGTATTTGTATGCACGTCGTTGATAGTTATACGAGTATCTTATGGAATAACGTCATAATTTCATATACAATGGAAAGGATGTGGATGATGGTGTTCTTGCATAATAAAGTCAATACTTCTATATAAGGTGTGGGAAATAAAAGTGAATTGACTTCGTTTGATTAGGTTATAGGATATTATGATGTTTCATTTACCTATATATTCTGAAAATAGATTAGATACGAACAATTTTAAATATTAATTTAATATAGATAGAATAATGCTCTTAGTACAAATAAATGACATAAATAATCTTTTGAGAAAAAGTGCGTGTGGATATTTTCCTCACACACTTACACTCATACTCTACGTAATCGTATGTTTTTTGCTTTTGTTTCTTCTATTCTCTCCTCATCTCTGTATTTGCTACAGTGTTCTTTCGCGTTCTGTCTTCGTGTCAATTATACATGATCTTTTCCTTTCTTATTTTCTGTTCCTTTTCTATCAGAATGTTCTAAGAATATTCAGTTAGACTAAGACATATTCAAGATGACCATTGTCAAAAGTCATTTTGAGTTCAGATTTGAAAATGGAATAGAGTAGTATGTGTTATGCAAGTATTTTAAATCATCTCATCACTCACGATTTATATGCATTAATTAGAAGTATTCTCTGTTTTACATGTACATGAGACAAACGATATATTTTCACCGTATAACCAAAAAGAAAAAATATTAGTCATTATTTTCCCTTTTCTCTGTACGTCTTCTATATAATAGCAAATCAGAAAGTAAAAAAATTCCATACGTCACTATACAAATAGAGCACGAGAACACCGCTAGGATTGTGACGATTTCTGATAGAAAGAATGTTGCTGCTGACTAAATTGTACATTATTATATTTTTTCTTCTTTAGAATCACAGCACTTCCATGTAAGACAGGTGCTTATATACCATCCATAAGAAAGAGAAAGAAAAGAAAAGTCATAATGACAAAGAAATAATAAATAGTGCATACACAATGTACTTCATTGATAACGTTATACAAATGTCTATGGATTGATACATATTTCTTACGTTCTTTTCATTGAGATTCGTTTCTTTGTCTAGATTTTAAATTATGCGAATATAAAAATGAAGTCTTCTTAGTGTTTTATTGAACGTGAAATAAAATCATACATTGTATAATAAATCGTTTTTGTGCATGCTCGTTTTATTATTTATTAAATATTTGGATCTTTATAGGTCAAGTATTGTCGTGCTTCTAATGGGCGATACATTATCGGATAGCATATGTGTACTTGAGCGAATCGGAATATTGCTGGCAGTGTTCTCAATTACGGCAATCGGGTGTATTTGTGTCCTATGTGTATGTGGATGTCGTCGTCAAAGTGATAATCATCCAGTTATTAACAGTATTACTCCACAACGATCACAAATAGAACTTTCAGAATTGAGACGCCAGTATATAGACAATAGTCTACAACGGCATCCCATAATATATTCTCCGATCAGAATTTCATCATCAATAAATTCAACTGGTTTCGTTAGTCAACCATCATTACAAAACGAACATAATGATATTAGCAGAACAACAGTAGCAACTTCAGAAAGTCAACCTATCCTAAATTTACCACCGATATATGATGATATCATACAACAGAACTCAATATCTATCACTCTGCAAACACAATCCGAACTGCCACCATCTTATAATGACTTTATGCGAGGAAGAAATGAAAGGAGCTTAGTGTGATTTCAAATTTGAGAGTGTGAATGTAAAAGTGTGTTTTTCATAGATAATTAATACTATTCAGATTTTAGTCTTTTCAGATCAAAGTCTCTTAAATTATTCGAATTTCTTCAAAATCTTTCAAATTTGAAGATATATTCCGTTTTTAAATACGAGATAGTGATTCTGATAATGTTAGTGAATGAAGATCAATGGACCGCTTAAAATATGTTTATGCTAATTAGAAACGATTGTATCTGTGACAGATCGTTCAACAGAGATTAAATACGTAAATCATGTAGGTAGAACAATCCTTCGTTCTTTCCTCTCTGCTCGTCAAGGGTGACAGTGTGGATGTGGATTTGCCTATCTCTAACTCACCTTCACATCCACTCTCAGGAGTATAATACAAAATGAGAATCGTATGAATAACCATCCAAATGAATTTATTTGAGGTAAACAAAACAACATTGACAATATGAGAATCTACATAACAATTTTTGATCGCACCGCTATTTCTTGACTAGCGTTAATCACACATGCAAGTTTGGTAATATGGATACCATTCACAGTTTTCAGGACATTCAACCGTTTCACGTTTTTCATACAAATCTTCGTTCATTGTCGTTGCATGAACACTTTCATCGGTAACTATTTATTCAAAAAGGAATCTTTTATATAATTATTCATATGCAATAAAAATTTACCTTCAATTGGAATGTTCTTGCAATTGATAACACCCAATAAGCAAATCATGAGAAAAATAATCAATAATTGTCGTTGCATTATTTAATGATATAGAGAATGAAAATGATATTCATGAATTGACTTATTCTATATATATAGGATCAATGAACAAAGAATTTAACTCTTCGAATATAACATTGATCATTGTTCTATTTAAACCTGAATAGCCAATAAGAATAATTTTTATTCCAATGGTCATTATCCGTCACATTTCATTGGTTTGATTTTCATCTTCTTTATTTATGATGACCTTTTCACGGATCATTGTTTTTCTCTCTCTCTCTTTGTTGTCTTATCTATATGGAATAAAAAAAAAGAGACGATTAACATTAACATCATGAAAGTGGTTTACAGTCTCAAATAAACACTATACGAATCTTGAGAATGTGGGTGTGGGTGTGAATTAATAGAAAAGTATCACCCACCCTCACATCCTCTCAAATGAACAAAGTTGTTTCTTTATTTATATAAGTAAAAATGTGGTTGCCTTATTAGTACTTGTATTGAGGGTGTAGCGTTCATCTTGTACTATCACTCTCACCCTGAATTGTACAATTTCATCAATAAGGAATTCAAAAGATATCAGCTTCAATTCTTGTTTTATTATTCAAAAAGTTAATAAGCATCACAAATATTCTGAATTAAAAGAAATAAAATAACTATATGGAAATAACTTGAAATTTTATTGTTCGTTGCACATTACACAGCTTCTCCTGTATCGCTACTATTTCCTCCATAAATCGTTGATTTTGTATAACCTCTTCGTTTGCCTGTAATATTACTTTCTCTAATCGAAGACATATACCCATAAGTCGTTCCCATTCATTCGAATCTAGCAAATTTTCTAGATTGGTTTTATTAATAATTAATTGAATACATCGAAGAGCACACATATTTCCGATTAGTTCAAGTATTGTTTCCCAAAAACATGATTTGTAAGAGTGATGATATTTATTCGTCCTAGGCATTTCATGGTGACCCATGTCAAGTAAAAAATGATTTATTGTAATATTATGTACGTATTTGTAATCTTTCTTATTGTGATAACTATGAGTGCAACCTGATCTTACACAATGTAGTGCAAATTTTTTGATTGAACTTGGAAGGTATGTGAATATGTCCACGAACCTATATATATACGAATCAATCGCACTGCTATACCGAAGAGAAAGTCGAATCAAATTAGGGAACATTTTTTCGCATTGATTGAGTTTCTCCATCTGCTTGAAGTTGTCAAGTGTGAGTGAAATAACATCAGTGAGAATGACAAAATCAGTCATTATTCTCATTGTTTCGAATTGAACTTCATTAAGATACAACGAAACAATTTGTTTCGGTTTGATTTGTCGAAAAATCATTCGAAAATAACAAGAAGAAGGCTTATATACTTGTATTTTTGTTTCAGAATTAGATAACACAGGAAGAATATTGTCCGAAAACGCATTGAGTGAGTCGTTGAATGTAAGATATTTGCAGATCTCTAGAATAATATCCCAAGAAAGACCAGTCTTGGTTTGGAAATTAAACGACTAAAACAGAATCAATAACAATATTTTAAGTCTATAACTTCAACTTACTAAAGTTTGTTCATTCTCATCATGCTTTTCTTTAAAATCCATCAATTCATGTAGTAATATTTCACGAGCTGTCTTAACATCAGCACCTATTAAGACATTATCTTTGATCAATGATGTGAACTCATATTCAGATGATTTTGACCAGTGTTTGTTTCTTGCTGATCGCCGCATTATACCAATAAACATTGGACATTGTTCCATTGAAAAACTACAAGATCCGTGAGTAGGAAACATTTCTTCCCAGACCTCTATCAATCTGTTTAAAAAAAGTATAATGTCTATTATACAGTTGTGAATTGTTTACCTATTTCTGTTTGATTCAACTGTTATGTCCCATGGCCAAACAATATAGTTTTCAAGTAAATATTCAATAATAATCTCTGAACAGAATATTTTCGAACAAATCATATCACTAAACATGTTTTTATCATGATGTATGTACACGAGCACTGGTAAGCTCTAAAAACGAAACTATTTTGTGTCTTTTATAGAGATAAACAAACGTTTTCAATTGCAGATGAAGTGAAAGCTGTTTCACAAGCAGCTTGAAGAGAACCTGCGAAAAATTGTGGACAACTATTGTATCGTTTCGTAAAACATGTACGAAAAGAATCAATAGCAGCAGCTTCATTCTGATATAGCGTCGGAACTTTGAAGATCATAGAATGCTAAATAGATCTTTTATTTTTATAAATGAAAATGAATTTACTAGGGCTAAGATCGAAGAACGTATGATCATAATCACGAGTATCATCGTCACTTATTTGTGCATCATCATCATCCTATAGAGTCAGATAAATAAAAAAAGTTTTCAAAAAAGTGAATTTATTGAAAATATGCATATTTCTCTATGGATAATTCTAAAAAAATTCTCATTTTATATTTATACAGAAGTATACTTACCATTGTGAACGTTCGATTAATTATTATCGGCAACAGAACTTCTAATAAAAACAAAATAAAACGTACGTCTTTTATTATTCTGAAAAAAAAACATTTAATGCAGTGGGTTTCTTCCAACTTGAAAAAAGCAATGTTATTTTTATGTGTCAACGTCATATAAGAGTTACAGGAGAGATAGGAGGGAAAGAAAAGAAAAAAAATTGTGTGCATGAAGAGCTGTAGGTAGCGAAACAATAATAAACTTGAAGTACTTCACTATATTTATTCAATAGGACCAATTTTTTCTATGTTAAAGAAGAACACAGATTTTTTATATATCATCAATATTTTTCAATATTGCTATGAACTCATCATGATTTTAATTATTTATGGTGCGCAAAAATGCTTGCTATAGAATTACGTATGTGTACATTTACCTCTCTATGGATGTGTTTTATCGTGTTTCGTTCTGTAAAACGTGGTTATTTTCATATCTCTCACATCATAATACTGATTTATGTCTTTTCTTCAGTATATTAAAACGAAAGTGAGGGTACTTTAGCTATTATATTAATTTTTATTGCTTATACTAGTTATTTTACAAATGTTAAGTACGTACTCGAACATTTTATGTTAACGTTAAACCATGGCTTGACATCAATTTACTGTTAACGAGAAAGTACGGATAGTAAAACACTACTAGTCTCAATCCTATCATTTCTTGAGATTTTCTTCAAAGATATTCAAAGGTCCTGCTTTGAATTCCAGTAATTGCTTGTTGCGGTGTATTTCACGATTCAATAGCTTCGTGTTCAGATTATTTTGTCGACAAATAATGCCTCTTGAGGGTGTGGGTGGGTTTGAGTGTAAAATGAATAGAATACTCTCAAACCCACACGCACACGCACACCCATATTTGTTGGATTATTTTCGAATGAATACCAGTATTCGTACCTATCCTTATCCTATTCAAATATATTCTGATTATTATGTTATGACTGGGACAATACTTTCTTTGGTCATCTTATGACAAAAACGTATTCTTTCAATTAAAAGGAAAAATTGTGCACGATTTCACCATTATTTATTTCAGAATTATATTACGATATAACAAAAAAAACTTATTCTAGATGAAACAGAAAGCCGATTATAATCACGAAATAACAACATATTAATATGCCTACTGGTTCCATTCCAAAACTAAACATGCTGTGCACGGAATGCAGTATCATGCCGTAGTAGTATAGTTGTGATTTACATGTAACTAGAGGATTTCGCAGGCAAGAGAAATGATTAAGAGCCATAGTTCCAATAATGTACAGAACGATTCTGACAAAAATATTCATGACAATATAGGTGCACGAAGAATTAAATGTTAGCATGCGCGTGATTAATATATTTAAAATGTTAGAGCACAAGTTAGAAAAATGTATAACCTGTGAGCAAGTAACATCGGAATGGCGAGATACAAGTCTCATTAATTCGTGATAACGACGTCCACATCGTGGAGGCCAATGTGCAATCCAAAATGATTGTGATGTCTAAATTCAATGTTCAAACAAATGATAATGGCACTGAAGAGAACATACCTGTCTATTAATCCAAACATGAACAGTGCAAGATGATGCGTGTCTAAACTCACGATAGAACCGACATGTAAAGTTTGTATTACTAAGTCGTCGAACTCGACGGATAGATAATTCTGGATTTTGAAACCAATTTCGTTCATTTTCGGTGAATTTTGATTTAATAGTAAAAGATGCATTGGACAAGTATTTGAATCCATCGATTAAACGAATCATATCCGAAATCGAATTGATCTTTGATATTTGTAAACATTCAACATGAGGAAATATATGCAATATATCTTCAATGATGAAACGAGTGATTTTGGTTGAAGTGAAAATTTCAAGAGATCGAATATTTTCGTATCGTTTACCACGAAACTGATCAATAAAATTTTGGGTTAAATCGACAGTAAATGATAGCTTATAACGACGGGGCATTTTGCGTAAATCGAAAGGTAACAATTGTATACAGTTTAGCCAGTTGGGCTCAAAATCTTGTCTTTGTTGAGTATTCAAAATCGTCAACGGTCGATTCTGACTGTTATTATAGAGAAAATGCAGGGCCTCAACATGATCAAAAATGTGTATATTTGAAAATGCAAATCGTCTTATAATGACTTCAGTGGTATTTCTGTAGAGAAATGTCTGATTAGGTACTGTAAAATATTGTGGATTGTAATCGTTGAAAACATGCTTTGGACCATATTGAGGTACTGAAAAAAGATATAGTAAGTCGTAAGCAACATACCAACATTTTTCTTCAAGCCAAAATGATGTACGAAATGTGTTAAGCATTTGTTCAATATTCTCGATATTAACTTTGAATTTAAAGCTGAATATGTTAAAATTTTTACTAAGATTTTGCCATCGATAGCCATCTGCAAGATCCACGGAACCTTTGATGTGTAATGTAAGATATTTTAGATGAGATAAATTTGGTAAAAAACGTTCCATTTGATCCATTGATATAATTGAATCTATTAGCAAAAAATATATAACCCTACTATTATTTTTTACGATAATAAGAAAGAGACGTTTCTATTCTTTTTTGGAAAAAAAATTCAAACAAGTCATCTCACTGATCTATTCCGAAATCAATATTAATATCTATTTGTTAAAAAATAGTTACCATTTATCGTTAAAATAAGCCATTTTAGTTGAGAAGGTGTATCAAGAAGCTCAATATTCGAAGTATCACCTTCGAGACAAACATCGAGTGATCTTAAGTGAGGTGTTTGAATCAAAATCATTTGCAATTCATTAATAGTTGACTGTGCTAACGCTAGAGAGCGAAGATTTACTAAAAGTGGTGTCCTTGTTGCAATAAATTTTTGACCAATATTTAGCCGATGCAGTTTTGGTAACACTTGACTTAACGTTTTACTTAAAAGCGGAGTTACTTGGTTTATTAGAGGTGAATAATCATAAATCCTAAGAGGAGATTTAGTTGTGACAGAATTTATATGAAATGAACGTAGTTGATCAAGTTTGTTTAAATCTAATAAAATTAATTCTAATGTTTCATTTTCAATACAATATAATGTTAATGATTGAAGTCGAGTAAATTGTTTAATACTAATACGAGAAAGAAATAGTTCAGATTGACCAGGTGTAGCACTAGCATCTGAGAGTACCAGAGATATGACTTGATCAGGTTTTATATGACGACAAATAAGATCAAAATTGTCTTTCGAAATCGATTTGAAATCAAATCGATAAAATGAATATGTCCGTAGAACACCATCGACACGATCACTAACATTGGAAAAGCTTAAAAGAATATCATGAGCCAAAAAATAATCGAAGATATCGTACAGAAGGTCTACAGGTAATCGATCGAAAAACCAGATTTTATTTGCCATAATCCGAAATTACGCAATGTCACTTAAAGATTTTACTTTGTATATCTAGGAAAAATTACATAAATCATCTGTTACATAGTAATCAATGATTTGTCATCCTAGTAAACAAATACACGAAAATCGTTTTTTTCCTCAAATAATAACTATTTACATAGTTACTTCAATATACACCTATCAATTTCCATTGGAAAAAAGAAGAAAAAGTATATTGGCGTATTACGAAATACTTGTCAGTTCCGGACGTGAGTGTTCGTCAAGATGAGGGTGTGTGAGACATATCCATGTAGCATCTACGCCTGTCTACGTCGGCAACCTCGCCCACTCACACCCTTCAATTTTAACTATGCAGGATATCATTCTCTTTCTTCCGTCCTCTTGAGTCATATACGAATGATTAAGTATTTTTATTTTCGCTTGATTCTCTCGATATATATATGTGCTTTAATGTGTGCAAAGATTCATTCCTTTCATTTCAAGTAAATGGATTATACCATTATGACTCAAGAGAATAGATGAAAAAGAATGATCTATCGTGCCTGAAGGCCATGACAGAGGGTAGAAAGTGAAACAAGATATTGCACTAACTTTTTTTTGCGAAGCATCGCAGAAGAAATTATGCGCACATAAGAGAGAAAAAAATAAAATAAAAGGAAGGAAGAAGAAAAAAACTGAAACGAACAATGTAGAAGGAATATATCAGTTAAGCTTTTATACAATATCGAGATGGGTGGGTGAAAGAGAACAATCACACCCAAGATCTTTCAAAAAGCTGATATGTTTCTTATATTCATGGTTGTGCAATAACGCTTATATGGAAATAGTTTTTGCAGAAATGAAACACTTATTTAAAAGTAGGAAAACTCGAAAGACAATAGCGCTTGTATTAGCTGAGATAAGAATAGATTCATATTCAATCTTATCGTGTATTGATATGTGAAAACGTATTCTATACAATGAAGATTTACTGAAAGGTATCAGTTAAGACGAACTGTATTCAAAAATTGCTTAGATTTGCTTGTCAAGATTTTTTCGTGAATCAATACAGTAAAAAACAAAATTTGTTACAAAACAATTTTTGAACAGCAATTTACTATTAAAATAACAGATTTCTGTTATTTTTTCTACTTCTTGGTATTAAAATTTCAGTTAATTGATGATTCTCAAGAATCAAATGACAGCAGCTCTAATCTGATACGGAAAAATCCGTAAGTGTTGACACAAGATGAGTGTAGGTGTAAATATGATACATCCGCTCTCACAATAGTTATTAAATTATGAGTTCACACTCATAAATAAATTATTATCAACTATAATTAGCACCGTTTTGAAGAGCATTAACTATTATTTTTTATAAATAATCATTGATCTTTCCACAATTATACAGGGTGTCGGTGTAGTTGTGTTTTCTTCATACCCATCCACACCTACATCCTCAAGATGGTTTTTTCACAAAACTAACCCAATGATTAGTTCATATTGTTATAGTGTGCTAATTCATAGTAATTTTTATCGAAATGTCAAAGTATAGTCTTAATCTCAATTTCATATAAAATCATTGTAGACTTGAAATAGAAACTGTCACCTTCAAATACTCATTCAATTCACAAATTAAATTCATTAATATTTATGACAATGAAAAAAGTACCCAAAGAGTTCAACATTTTCTAATTTTATCTCATTTATCTGCTTGTATTGCCGTCAGAAGATACCCATCCCGTCATCATTGTTGTCGTTAACAAGAAGAGAGTGATTCCAGTCACAAAAGAAAATGACCGGTCACCAATCAAATGAGAAGTATCAAACATATATAACATCACTTTTTTTCTTCTTCTCATTATATATTCTTTTTTTGTCTACGTTATAATTCCATTTCCTTTCAATGTTGTGCTACTTAGGATTCTTCGTTTACATTGCTAATGTTTTATCGGTAAGTTATTAATTGTATATGATTAAAGTATTCTCGATGGTAAATGTTTTATTTTCTATAGGTCAGTTCATACAAATCTATAGAACATGAAAATTTATTTCACTTATCCAAAACAAAAGCGATGACGTATGAAGGTGGTAATATATGGCAAGCCGATGAGACTAGTTTTCCGATACTGAAAAATCAGTTCGGATCAATGGCCATTTTGACCTTGAAAGTGGGTGGTATTCGTCAACCCCATTGGCATCCCTTTGCTTGGGAATTGAACTATGTTATTAGTGGTAAGCATTTGAACAGATATATCCGCATTCACAATTAAGTTTTCAATGGCGTATAATAAATGTTTTTCGTATATTTTCAGGAAAAGCTGAATGGAGTATTGTTGGAACTAATGGTCAGCATGATTCATTTATAGCTAATGTCGGTGATCTCGTGTTTATTCCTCGTGGCATTTTTCATTATTTTGCAAATGCTGATAGCGAAGAAGAATTAAAAGTTTTAATTATATTTAATTCTAGTCAGGTTGTAGAAGATGATGATATTGGAATTGTTCCTTCATTGAATGAAATGCCTATTGATATATTGGCTGCTTCATTTGGAATGCCAAAAGATTATTTCAAAGATATTCCAAGAAATGTAACATCAACACCAATTATTTTACGGAAAGATACAAAACATCGAAATCCTTCGCTCTTAAGAAAAAAGGCATAAGGCTAGAAATTCTTTAGGATGATTGTCATTTTTCTTTGTTCCATTATTCTTCATACATAAAATAAAATATACTTCTCGGATTATGTACGGAATTTTGTATATGTTTTCATTGCTGATGCACTATATAGAAAAATCTAAGCATCGTTATAATCAAAGAAGATGAGAATCTATGTATTGGCAGTAACTAAAGTAGAACTTGAATTATTAACAACTTTGAAATTCTATTGTAATGAGCTGTCTACCTTCCATAATAAGCAAAGTCAAATGAAGAAAAATTAATTATGTATCACATTTATGTCTATACCATTTGTTTTATCTTTTTGTAAAACAAAAATCAGTAAATATTCATCAAGCAGCTGATGAAAGTTCTTCTTTATTTTCTCAAAACTTTCTTTGTACTATTTTTGTCTTTAGAAAAACTTAAAATCAATGCTCTAATATTATCAATATGTTTTCAAAATGAATTTATACAAATGAATAAAAGATTAGTCCAGTAGCATTGTAATTCATAAGCGTCTCACTTTATTTAGATGAAAGTAGGAGCATTCTCAAAGGAAAAAATTCTCTTTTCACGTTTAAATTTCAATGAATATGTATAAAAATATCTTCAATAAAGTAATAGAAGAGATACTCCTGCAAATAAGGTATGATATTAATATCGGAGTCTACACCCGCACCCTCAAGATGGTAACAATCTAGTAGATCCTATTTAAATATAAAAAAATGTTTTTCTAATATTTTTATGATTTACGAATTGCTAACAATATATTTCAAAATTTTTGTCATCACTTTTCTCAATACTGATCATGAATGATAGAAATAGATTTTTATTATTGCTCTGAAGAATAACTATTTTCAGATGGCAACATATGCTCTTATTGATTAAATATTTTCTAAAAATAAAATAAAAGAAACTTGTTTAACAATGTCATAAAAACGGAAGGTAACAGATTGCTTTGATTCATTATGTCAAACAAATATCTCTAAATATATCCATCATTGGAAATTTATTTATTATAATATTTGATAAAAGAAAAGTCTTTCAATGAAACCTTGTGTTGGAATTAAATCGAATGATATCAGAAAAAAGAGGAATAAACTATGTTCAGTCTAAAGTGATGAAATAGAAAACATGATTACTTACAAGATTTTGTGACAAATAAGTTCTAAAATATTTCATATCGATCAAAATCTATCCCTAGAATATAGGGTGGCGAAGAGGATGTCGATTAATAAAAAACAATAAAAAGGATCTAGTTTATCATTTAGTATAATTCAATTTCTTCATCGAACTTCAGTGAATACATTCTGTGCTCGATAGAAAAAACGATTTCTTTTCTTCACTGATCTTTTAAATATTTATTTTTTATAGCTGTGCTTGTTATTGTTGAATTTTTAATTTAAATAACTGCAAATGTCATCAAACAATATTTGACAACATGTGATAATTATTACGCCAACTGTGACCATCTTTTTTGTTTAAATGCCTTGTAATTACTTTATAAAAAGAAAGGTCAATTGTATGTATTTTCACAGATGGTGTAATAAGAGCCAAAAATAGCAAATAAATTTGTTTACTAATATTGATGGGATATTTGATGAATGGATGCATCTGTTGTTTTATAAAAACTATTCATTTTTCAGGACAAATTTAACGATAATAATAGGCTCTTTCAAATCTCATGTAAGTATATAAGGACGTAGAAAAATCAGGATAATCACTAACTTTCTATTTGATTTTTGTGTTGTTCAACAAAAAATGTCTTCATATTGCTTCGCATTTGTAGCGATTATTGCTGTAATCGGTACCATCGTTGTTGATGATGCTTCTGGAAGTAAGTGTACATCTTCACTTTATATTTGTTATAACCTTCTCAACCACAATTACTTCTCCTTTCACTATAACTATCAATTTCTTTTCGTACATTATTTATCAACCTAATTCCGCTGTAAGACATGCACATAATACAACATGTTTAATTTTTTTTTCAGCATTGATCCCAACATGTTCCGTCGCTTCACACAGCTGTTCATCTACAGATGCACAAACAATCACGGGCTCATTCATTATGATCAGTGCAGATTTTGCATTACTGACAGCACAAAAGGCTTCTATTATATCGTGTTTTACCAATCAGTTAAGATTATCGTCGTCTTTGAATATTAAAGTAACAGTGCAAGTGCAAGCAATTGATCGGTTAAGCAATGGTGACTGCCGAGTATCATACAAATGCTCAGGAGTTGGTCATCACCCTTCAGCTCTAAGTTGTTTGAAAGCAACACCAAATTGTGATGCGTTCAAAACCATTCTTGGAAAGTGTTTTCGTTCTTCCGGTACGAAAGTTGGTGGTGGTCTTCCAATTTTAGGTGGCCTCTTGGGAGCCGTTGGTGGTATATTGAAGGTAGGTTCGGGTATAATAGGTGGTTTACTTGCAGCAGTTACCTCCCATACATGCTCATCAACAGGTACACAAACAATTGGTGGTACATTCATTATTGTTAAAGTAGATGTGACATTAGTGACAGTACAAAAGGCTTCTATTGCATCGTGTTTTACCAAACAGTTACGATTATCACATGCTTTGAATCTTAAAGCAATAGTAGAGGTGCAAGGAATCGAACACTTAGCCAATGGTGACTGTCGAGTATCATACAAATGTTCAGGAGTTGGTCATCACCCTTCAGCTCTAACTTGTTTGAAAGCAACACCAAATTGTGATGAGTTCAAAACCATCCTTGGAAAATGTTCACATTCTTCCGGTACTCAAGTTGGTGGAAACAATAATGACGATGGGCAATATGATGAAAACAATAATGGAGATGTTCAATATGATGGAAACAATAGTGGAGATGGCCAATATGACGGAAACAATAATGGCGATGGCCAATATGATGGAAGCAATAATGGAGATGTCCGAGGTGATGAAAGCGTTGATGTAACAGTTAGCTCCAATACATGCTCATCTACAGATTCAGAAACAATCGACGGCTCATTCGATATTTGCAATGCAGATTTGGAATTACTAAAAGTACAAAAGGATTCTTTTGAATCGTGTTGTGCCAACCAGTTACGATCATCACATGCTTTGAATATTAAAATATCAGTGGAGGTGCAAGGATTCGAACAGTTAGAAAATGGTGACTGTCGAGTATCGTACAAATGCTCAGGAGTTGGTCATCACCCTTCAGCTCTAAGTTGTTTGAAGACATGCCCAAATACGAATCCATTCCGAGACATTCTTGGAAAGTGTTCACTCCTAAAGTGGTGAATACAATGATAGCGAACATGCTGAAGAAAGGACACAGAAAGTTTTAAAGTTATAAAGATCGTGTTTCGTATGGTTAAAATGTGTTTTCTTTCCTTTGTTGTGTTCGTTTTGATTTAACTGGAATTTTATTTTTTTGGTCTATAAGGTTTTTCCAATTCATTATATATGCATATCCGTGATTCTTTCAGAATAAAAAGGTGAGGGTAATATAAACAAGAATCATCTTACTAAAGTAAATAATGAAGCTTTTATAACAATGAACACAGTATTTGGAATATCAAGTGTGTGTAAGAATGCTTTCGATATATTGATAAATGAATCATATAATACGTCATGCATTTGTCTTTTCTTTATTGCAATGTCTGTATAAATTCAGTTATCCAATAGAGAACTTGGTTTTAATGGTTGACTCGTATGATTCTGCGTTTTCTTAGTATTAATCTAATTTTTCAATATTCATTAAATATGTCGCAGCTTAAATGCTACTATACTGATTAACATTTATTCATTATTCAAAGTTTGTAATGAAGAATAAAAGAAAGAAATAATACTGTAAAAGAAAAAACTATTAAAAAAGGAATAATTAAATATCAAATAGAACTGCGGAATTATTTTTAATTATCATTTTTCTATTTACTTTTTTTTGCTCTATAAAAATGTACTTTTTTTCTTGAACTCGTAATGCACTTTTACATGATTACAAAGTTCACATAGAAATTGAATTTTAGTTTAGTCATGCATAGTATCAGAATGATTCTTCGTAAAAAGATAAATTTTAATCTCTGATCTGAGATTGAATGTATCATCAAAACTTCAACTTCTTATTGAATCGTTGATGAGTCGATACGTTTGTAGATTTCACAAACGTCATCTGATCAATTTAGTTTGAATCGGTGAAGCTATAGACGAATTATCAAGAAGAATCAGAATGTGATATCGATCTCGAGACTAATCCAAGTTCTTAAGTAAAATTTTTTATTCAATTCGATATTGGACATAATCTCAGTTTGAACGTTGACGTAAATATCTATTTCAAATGAATTCTTTTGTACTTTTAATATAAAAAATAAAAACCTGATATGGCTATTTTAAATATAATTACTTTTTGTCATGATTTTAAATATTTCAAAATGAGTTTTTTTACTCTTTAATCTAATGTGAGAGTATTTTATAGTACTTCTTTTGAAATTATTTACTAAACTTTTCTTTCTACTTAACTAATTACATAAAATATACGCCCTATTTTTATCTCATACGCATAATACTTATGAAAATAATATTTTATAGGAAATGGGAAAACTGAAGTAATAAATAAGTCATGTCTTTTCTATTTTTTTTATTCATCTTTGAGTAGATTCTCAGAAAAATAATAACTTTATTTCTATCTGAGAGAATATATATTAACTAGATAAAGATATCGTCGCAAGTAATTCTGTTGTAAAGCAAGTTTCAGTTTTTTGTTTAGGTTATTTATTGTATTAAATCGACGAATAAGTATTTACATTTTTTTTAAAAATTATTATCAAAGATATATGCCGGGGCGTAGAATCCAATTCTATTTTTTTCTTATTCAGTATCTATGATATATCATAGAAGCTGCATCAGAATAAAAAGAATTGGAACCTTCAGTCAGACTGAGGATTCCAAATATTAATTTTTATATTCTTCAGAGAGCCAGTAGGTACAAGAAGTTTATGAGAATATGATGGCAAATAACGTCGTAAATGATTGTCCTGAGATACGATGAAAAAACGCAATCCTTTTAAATACACGAACCATTTTCTATCCGCATTATCTAGAGTATAGATACAATTTCCACTTATTATGCGAAGGAATATATAGTCGTGTGATGTTGTGAACATATTCGATATTGTATAATATCATTCCATTAATATGAACTCAAATTATATTTTAGATATTCGAAATGATACTTTTTGACTGTCTCAATGTCTGGTTGTTTATGCTGATTGTTAGACAAATAACAGGTAAGAATTCGATAAAATTATTTAACATCGCATTAAATTCAACAGTTAGATTATGAGTTTATGATAATCATTTCTACTCGAATTCTAGTCATAGCTCTATTGTTTTTCATAGGTATTTCGTACAATCAACCAAAATTTTGTGCAAATGCAAAGTGGGACCAGACGGCTATCACTTTTGCCTCCAGCAGCATGGCTGGTGCATACCCTGCGGGTATTTTTGTCGATGCAAACAATAACGTCTATGTAGGTGATCGAACGAATCAACGGATTCTTATATGGTTTAACGGAAGCAGCACACTTACTAGAAGTATCACAAGTGGTTTAAACGATCCATTTTCTCTCTTCGTCACGGATAATAATGATCTTTATGTCAGTAATGCTTACTTAGATAATCGAGTTGACAAATGGGCATGGGACACGACAATTAGTGTTCCAACAATGTATACGTGTGAACAATGCACTACTATTTTTGTGGATATTAATAATATGCTTTACTGTACACTGTATGATAATCATCAGGTTATCTACAAATCATTGACCCAAAACTTGAATGTATGGAGTAATGTTGCCGGTGTAAGTGGTACAGCTGGGTCAACCTCAACTACACTTAATAATCCTTGTGGAATCTTTGTCGATATTTACTTGAATTTATATGTGGCTGATTATGCAAACAATCGAATTCAAAAATTTGCATCAGGACAATTGAATGCAGTAACAATATCAACAGGATCTATCACATTGTCTAATCCAACTTCAGTTATAATTGATGCTGATGGATATCTCTTTATTGCTGACTTTAATAATAATCGTCTTATTGGTTCGGGACCTAACGGTTTTCGATGTATAATGGCATGTTCTGGATCATCCGGTTCATCATCCAGTCAATTAAATGCTCCACATACCATTATGTTTGACAGTTATGGAAATATATTCGTCGCTGATGAGTGGAATAATAGAATTCAAAAAATTTTATTCTTATCAAACTCATGTAGTAAGTATAAGCCTATGTGATGATGAACGGTTCTATTCATCCAAATAAAATTCCATTCTTTTAGATACAACCACAATAACAACTACAGCTGCTGTTGGTATGTTATATATGTCTTTCTTCCTTTCTTTTTCTATACTGTAAAGAAAATATCTTTGTTTATAGCAACAACTATGGCGAGCGTCATTCAAGCAACTACTACCTCAACACCTGTGTCTTATTCAAACGGTAATGTGCTGACTGAGAATGGGTGCGGGGTGGGCGTGGATGCAAGGTAGAGAAATGACACCCACACCTACACCACACCCTCAAATAGTTATATAATTTGTATATAATAGAATAAAAATTAAATTAATATTATTTTAGTTATATCATTCAATCAACCAAAATTTGACGCCTATGCTGCTTGGGATAGCATTGGATTTACTTTTGCAACTAGTAGCATAGTTGGGACAAGTCCATATGGAATTTTTGTAGACACTAACAATACGGTTTATGTAGCCAATCGAGCAAACAATCAAATTCGAATATGGTCATCAGGAAGTACTACACTCACAAGAAATATTACCAGTGGTGTAAATTCTCCATATAGTATCTTTGCTACAATCAATGGTGATATTTATGTTGATAATGGATATACAAATAATCGAGTCGATAAGTGGGCATCAAACCGAAGTATTAGTACTTCCGTAATGCAAGTTCAAGATGCATGTTATGATCTCTTTATCGATGTTAATAATACTCTTTACTGTTCATTGTATAGTGAACATCAAGTTGCTATAAAATCATTGAATGGTAATTCAAGTATGTGGATTGTTGCTGCTGGTATCGAATGTAATGGATCAACTTCGAATGCCCTTTATAATCCTCGTGGAATCTTTGTTGATACAAATCTCAATTTATATGTTGCTGATTGTGGAAACGATCGGGTGCAATTATTTTTATCTGGACAAGTAACAGCAACGACAGTAGCAGGAAGTACAGCTACTGGAACTATCTCACTTAATTGTCCTAGTGATGTTGCACTTGATGGTGATGGATATCTTTTTATTGTAGACAGCAGTAATAATCGTATTATTGGTTCAGGACCTAATGGCTTTCGATGTATAATTGCATGTGGATCTACTAGGGGTTCAGCATCCAATCAATTAAATAATCCATCAACTTTTAGTTTTGATAGTTATGGAAATATATATGTTACGGATCAAAGTAATAATCGAGTACAAAAGTTTATGTCAATACCAAATACTACTTATCGTAAGTATCTTATAGAGTAGAACATAACTGAACAGTTATTCTAATAGCTGAGAGAAACTCAAAATACTGTCATCAAACGCCATTGAGCTATAGTTAATGGAGTTCTTACTTGAATTTATTGTCAAAAATGTATAGTTTTTCCTTTATATCGAGTGCACATGAGTCACATTCAATACAAATCATGACTATCTCTTATGTTGATTTCAATCTAATATTCTTTATTTATAGCTGTCTCTTTTAATCAACCAAACTTGTGTCCATCGACAACTTGGTATACAAATGCAATTACATTTGCTACTAGTAGTACAGTTGGAACAAATGTATATGGTGTTTTCGTTAATATTAATAATGCTGTTTATGTGGCTAATCAACAAACTAACAAGGTTGCAGTATGGTTCGAAGGAAGTATTAATCCAGATAAAATTCTTTCTGGTAGTCTAAGTTCACCATTTGATCTTTTCGCCACTGCTGTAGGTGATATATACGTTGATAATGGTTTAAATAATGGTCAAGTTAATAAAATTTCATTCAACTCAAGTATAAGTACTTCTGTAATGTCAGTTCCTAATGCATGTTATGGTATTTTTGTTGATATTAGTAATAATCTTTATTGTTCTCCATTTAATTATCATCAAGTTGTTAAGAAATGGTTAAATAATAATGCACTTACATCAACTATTGTTGCTGGTACAGGTACAGCTGGATCAACTGCGACTACACTTAATACGCCTATTGGAATTTATGTCGATGCTCAAATTAATTTATATGTTGCGGATACTATGAACAATAGAATTCAATTTTTTTCTGTTGGACAATTCACTGGAATAACAGTAGTAGGAGATGGCGCGCCAGGAACTATTACACTTTATTATCCATATGGTATTACATTAGATGGTAGTGGATATCTTTTTATTGTCGATTCTTATAATAATCGAATAATTGGATCAGGACCATATGGTTTTCGATGTTTATTTGGATGTGCAGAAGTATCGGGCTCTGCATCAGATCAATTGAATCAGCCATCAACTTTAAGATTTGATAGTTATGGAAATATATTTGTCGCTGATAGATATAATGATCGAGTGCAGAAGTTTATATTAGCATCAAATTCATGTAGTAAGTTATTTTCAGTTTATGTTTTCGATAATCTCCATTTATTTTATTGTAGGTCTGTCTTATAATCAACCAATATTTTGTTATAATGCTTCATGGTCTGTAAATGCCGTCACTTTTGCATCAAGTAGTACAATTGGTTCATTCCCATATGGTATTTTTATTGATGGAATTAATACTGTTTATGTAGCTAATCGAGTTAGTAACACTATTATAACATGGCCTCAAGGGAGTACTACATCAACAAGTAATAGTTATAGTAATTTGAATAATCCATATAGTCTTTTTATGTCGATGACTGGTGATATTTATATTGATAATGGTTATGTATATGGTCGAGTCGATAAATATAATTTTAATACATTAAATCGTGTTACTGTTATGAATGTTAATGGAAGTTGTTATAGTTTATTTATTGATATTAATAATTATCTTTATTGTTCACTTAAAAATCGTCATCAAATTGTTAAACTCTTACTTAATAATGGTACAACCATACCGACAATTGCAGCCGGTAATGGTTCTGCTGGATCACTATCAAATATGCTTAATTCTCCTCAAGGAATCTATGTTGATAGTAATTTAAACTTATATATTGCAGATTGTGCTAACAATCGTGTTCAATTTATTCAAACTGGTCAATTAAATGGAATGACAATCGTTGGTAATGGGTCATCAGCAAATATTATACTCAACTATCCAACTGGAATTGTTCTTGATGCTAATGATTATCTTTTTATTGTCGATAGTTATAATCATCGTATTATTGGTTCAAGTTCTACTGGCTTTCGATGTATAGTAGGATGTTCGGGAGGTGGTTCATCTTCGTCTAAATTATCTTTTCCACAAAGTATGGCTTTTGATAGCTATGGAAATATATATGTTACTGATCGAAATAATAGTCGAGTGCAACAATTCACTCTACAAATCAACAACTGCAGTAAGTATGTTTGTGTACAATGGAACATTATGAACCGTGAAATAACTCATGTGTTCACTTTAAAAAAAGAAAATAGCATGAGGCAGCATCTTCCCTCGAGAATGACGATATGTTTACCCTTCGAAAATAGGTTTTTTACATTCTCGGAATAATAAATCTGCATAAAGTTCTGAGTTTGTTGATTCTGTATATTTTATTTATACAGGAATAAACTATAAAAAAATCCTTTAAATGAGAACTACATGATACTTGAATCATTCAATCTGATATTAATGTTTTCAGTATAAGTTCCCTCTAATTTGATTGAATAAAGCACAAGTCTTTATATTTCAGCAATGCCATCCACCACCGCCAGTACTACTACAACTACTACTACGAGTAGTACTACTACAAGCGACAGCAGTACTACCAGCACTACTACAACTACTACTACCAGTAGTACTACAACGAGCAGCACCACTACTACCAGCACCAGGACCACTGCTGCCAGCACTACTACTACTACCAGTAGTACTACAACGAGCAGCACCACT